TCTTAAATATGTTATCCCAGGGGCGCTGGTGGGCTTGGCCTTGGCCAGCGGCGGGTCCGTCTTGGAGCCGGCTGGTATTGGCTCTATCAGACACTGTGGAAGCTTCTAGAAGCTCCTCACAGGAGCCACCCCTGTAGCCCAGACCCCCACCCGCTACCAAAACCTTGCCACACAAACCCAACACAGGACCTTACTGTGGGAATGTCTCAATCTGTACAGTGAATTTTAATAACTATTTGGAATGAGAAATTTTGTATAGCCGTGCACTTACAGTGCTTCTGAGACCGAAGAACTTTTCGTACAAAATGAGCTTGAAGTCATGCTGTCTTGTCTAGTTTTACCATCCCAGCTGTACAGTGATACTACTTCTGCTGCTATTATTGTCATAAATAGGGTGATGTGAGATCTCACTGTTCAAATAGTGAACTGTCTAGTCTCGTAAATGTTTTTTAACATAAATGCTGTGTTTGTATTTAAAGAGAAGTTAAATTTTTAAAATAATTTTGATTTCATATTGGAAAGGCTTATAAATATCTCTTGCATCTGAACAAGTGAAAATGTAATTTCATGTGAATCAGGAAGACATTTAAGGTGACTTAATCGTTGCTTATTTGCAAATTAAGGATACGTTCCTCTTTTAAACTTGATCTGTAAGTAGCTCAGTGATGGTTGGCTGGGTTTTGTGTTGGTTTTGGTTTTTAAATTTATTTTCTGTGGCAGGAAATGGCAAGGAGGGACAGGAAGTACAGACCTACAAAGCTGTCTCCTGGTTTCTTACTTATCTGTGTGATCCTTAATGTAAAAGCTGTTAATCGCTTTATAAAGAAGCAAACTCTGTCAAGCTCAGGGACAAAGTTGAGATTGAACTTGAACAAATTTCCCTTTTGTTTACAGTTCTGTCAGTCTGTCAAAGGCACAATGGGATGCTTGTCTATAAATTTCATGAAGCTGTTTTGCATTGTTCTTCTGAAAGCCTTTAGTTTAAGCTAAAGGAGAATTAAACTGTTTTCGTTGGAGAAAACATTATGATTTCGTACGTATTGATGTGGTTTGTTTTGGCTTTTTAATAGTTGGATGAATGACATTCAAACAACTGTAAGATCCAATAGTTATATAATAAGATAAAACCGAATAAAATTTATTTCCCTTATGGTTTGTTTTTGTCTTCCAGTTGAGGCTTATTGGGGTGTTATTGTTATCTTTGGTACAGTTGATGCTTAAACTTGGTTGGATTTTCTAGGCTCAGTTTGTTAGCTGAATTATGCTGCACATGGCAGTCTTGTGTTGGGTACTAACCAATTGTTGAACTCTTTGTTCTTTTCTAGTATTGTAAATATTTTCCTTGTATGTAAAGAGGTGGGGAAAGGGTGCATGTGTGCTTTTTTTTTTTTTTTTAGGAAAAGAAATTAGGAGTTAAAGCTTTTACTTGAATAGTTAATCTGCTTTACTAGGCATGAAAATTAATAGGTGTAAGCTTGAATGTTGACCACACTTTAGCACCCATAAGAGGTGTTGACTTGTTGGTATGAAGGATTGCCTGAGTGTGAGTACCTTGAGGTGAGCCAATTCTAATTTGCTGGCTTCCAGATAGTGCTTAAATCTAAACTTTGAAATAACTTTTTGTGGATTTTGTATTGCTTGCTGTTTGAACATAATACTTTTTTATGGTTTAAATGGTTTAATTACCCTTTTATTTTAAAGATCATACTGAAGAGAGAGGATTTGAAGGCTTTTGAACCATGTCATTGCATCAATAGTTCTGCTGAGATGTAATGATTTTGTTTGACATGAAATACATAACTCGTTTGCATTCTGACAGTGCTATGTAAATGCAGTTCGTTCTCATTATAAGCTTAAAATGAAGTTTGAAGCTCTCCACATCTGATGTACAGCTGGGCCATGGAAACTAAGTGCAAGGCATGCTCAAAAGTGTTAGCAGCTGGGCGATCTAAACAAAACATTGATAGGAAGTGCTTATCTCTATTGCATTTTGGATTACTTCCACAAAAATATGTTTGTTCTCTTTAGTTTATGGATCTGAACTACATTCATTCACTACCTTGCTGTGATCTAGAAGGAGGAATGAATCCTTTTCAGTTGAAATGTCTGTAGCTGTACACTGCTATAGTGAGATTCGTTCATGGAATCTGATGAGTGTGTGCTTTCATGTGCAGCTAAGGTAGCATAGTTGGTTTTCCTCTTGTAATTGTGGGGAAAGATA